TTTTTTCTTTAATGCCGTATCACGTACCAGTGTTTTATAAATACCATTGCATCCGGCCCATGTCGTGTAATGTCTAAAGCACGTTATAAATACTATTGAACTTTTTCTTTTTACCCTTTTTTTCTTCCAGGAAGGGAAAAGCGAGTGGGACTGTAAGCCTCGTAACTGCCCTCCTCTGGCTTGCGCGTCAGCCGCCACCAAATTCAACATGACCCACTGTTGCCCTGTGTGTCACGGTAAGTTAACAGCGACAATCGCACTGACAGGTGTGCGTCTTTCCCCACACGTCCAAGTTCCTTGGCCGGCAAGACCTCCGTGATTGGCTGGTGTATTATTCTGCGATCAAAATCCTTGTGTCCAATGCAGAAACATTATCTTGACCTTTTCGACATCGACTTTTGTCTTGATGTTAAATGTTATGCTGTGCTTACGTATAATGTAACAGGGTATTCTGAATATTAAAAAGTCCGTTATTTCACAAAAGGGTGGTTTCAGTACGTGTTAAAGAACCTCTCTTTTGCACGTCTGTCTGTTTGAAAAGTTGTCAGTAAATACTGGATTACGACTAAAATTTATAGACTGAAGGAAAATAAATGAAAGCTCACACATTACCTTTGCCAATAGCAGATTTTATTGGCAAAAGCACTTTAGATTATTAGCTAATTTGAAAGACACTATTAAATTTTCAAGATTTTTACAAATGTTATGATGCAAATTGGCAAATTCTCATGTGATTCTTTTTTTTATATATATCTCGATCTTGGAAATAAAAGCGATGAACTCTGAAAATATTTGTCAAGTGAATAATTGTATTTATGTATTCCGTAACTGATTAGGCTTTCAGGGACCCACATGTACTACACCCATAGCAGCAGTGGTGCATCTAAGGCACATTCCGAATTCCATTCCTCTTCAGACTGGTTTTGAGTTCAATTTTCCTTCTCCTAAACAGGTTGTCCCCTCAAGGCAAGAGAATCCAGTCAACTCAGCTATTTAACCCACAGAGAAGAATAGATGGATTCACAGCTTTATTAAGGATATTTGTGTCAAAGTGAACGGAATTCGAACTCGTCTCGGCGGTTCTCTTTCCCAGTTGTCAGCCGCATTGCACCATCCGCACACCGATAAAGGGAATGCTAACCGTTCAATTAATTCAGAAGATGTTATTGCGATTCTGCAGTTTTGACTGTAAATGTAAAACACTGGATATTCTAGAAGAGATGGAGGAAATAAGCACATTATACAATTTATCTGAGAAAGCAAGTGTATACAGCTGCTAGTTTAGATATTTCTGAACGAGTCTGGCGACATACATGACATCCATATTAAAGTCTCGAGTTGACGAGGCTATTTAAGAACTGGACTCGAGTGTTTAGGTTAATGTTTTGGTTTAGTAACTTCTGGAACAGTGTGAAGCTACCTCTAGGAAGTCTCATTCATTGTTCAATTATTTTATTTCTATACAAGGTTTGTAAAGGTGATACCTGTTGGAATGGAAAACTATATTCGAGCACAGATAATCTCTGGGAAGCAACAAAAATTGCTGCAAGTTTATGTTCAGAAGTTAAAAGTTAATGAATGAAAGTTCGATAGTTAAAAAAGTCAATGAATAAATGATAGAATATAGAATATGTAGGGAAAATTTTTTTTTTCTTCTTTATGCTTAATCCATTCAACTGTCATCCTCTCTTTCCTACTCCTTTTCATTTCTCTATTTCTTTCTTTTCTTCTTTATGCTTAATCCATTCAACTGTCATCCTCTCTTTCCTACTCCTTTTCATTTCTCTATTTCTTTCTTTTCTTCTTTATGCTTAATCCATTCAACTGTCATCCTCTCTTTTCCTACTCCTTTTCATTTTCTATTTCTTTCTTTTTTCTTCTTTATGCTTAATCCATTCAACTGTCATCCCTCTTTTCCTACTCCTTTTCATTTCTCTATTTCTTTCTTTTTCTTCTTTATGCTTAATCCATTCAACTGTCATCCTCTCTTTCCTACTCCTTTTCATTTCTCTATTTCTTTCTTTTCTTCTTTATGCTTAATCCATTCAACTGTCATCCTCTCTTTCCTACTCCTTTTCATTTCTCTATTTCTTTCTTTTCTTCTTTATGCTTAATCCATTCAACTGTCATCCTCTCTTTCCTACTCCTTTTCATTTCTCTATTTCTTTCTTTTCTTCTTTATGCTTAATCCATTCAACTGTCATCCTCTCTTTCCTACTCCTTTTCATTTCTCTATTTCTTTCTTTTCTTCTTTATGCTTAATCCATTCAACTGTCATCCTCTCCTTCCTACTCCTTTTCATTTCTCTATTTCTTTTCTTTTCTTCTTTATGCTTAATCCATTCATCTGTCATCATCCTCCTTCCTACTCCCTTTTCATTTCTCTATTTCTTTCTTTTCTTCTTTATGCTTAATCCATACATCTGTCATCCTCTCCTTCCTACTCCTTTTCATTTTTCTATTTCTTTCTTTTCTTCTTTATGCTTAATCCATTCATCTGTCATCCTCTCCTTCCTACTCCTTTTCATTTCTCTATTTCTTTCTTTTCTTCTTTATGCTTAATCCATTCAACTGTCATCCTCTCCTTCCTACTCCTTTTCATTTCTCTATTTCTTTCTTTTCTTCTTTATGCTTAATCCATTCAACTGTCATCCTCTCCTTCCTACTCCTTTTCATTTCTCTATTTCTTTCTTTTCTTCTTTATGCTTAATCCATTCATCTGTCATCCTCTCTTTCCTACTCCTTTTCATTTCTCTATTTCTTTCTTTTCTTCTTTATGCTTAATCCATTCATCTGTCATCCTCTCCTTCCTACTCCTTTTCATTTCTCTATTTCTTTCTTTTCTTCTTTATGATTAATCCATTCATCTGTTATCCTCTCCTTCCTACTCCTTTTCATTTCTCTATTTCTTTTTTTTTCTTCTTTATGCTTAATCCATTCATCTGTCATCCTCTCCTTCCTACTCCTTTTCATTTCTCTATTTCTTTCTTTTCTTCTTTATGATTAATCCATTCATCTGTCATCCTCTCCTTCCTACTCCTTTTCATTTCTCTATTTCTTTCTTTTCTTCTTTATGCTTAATCCATTCACCTGTCATCCTCTCCTTCCTACTCCTTTTCATTTCTCTATTTCTTTCTTTTCTTCTTTATGCTTCATCCATTCATCTGTCATCCTCTCCTTCCTACTCCTTTTCATTTCTCTATTTCTTTCTTTTCTTCTTTATGCTTAATCCATTCATCTGTCATCCTCTCTTTCCTACTCCTTTTCATTTCTCTATTTCTTTCTTTTCTTCTTTATGCTTAATCCATTCAACTGTCATCCTCTCCTTCCTACTCCTTTTCATTTCTCTATTTCTCTCTTTTCTTCTTTATGCTTAATCCATTCAACTGTCATCCTCTCCTTCCTACTCCTTTTCATTTCTCTATTTCTTTCTTTTCTTCTTTATGATTAATCCATTCATCTGTCATCCTCTCCTTCCTACTCCTTTTCATTTCTCTATTTCTTTCTTTTCTTCTTTATGCTTAATCCATTCACCTGTCATCCTCTCCTTCCTACTCCTTTTCATTTCTCTATTTCTTTCTTTTTTCTTTATGCTTCATCCATTCATCTGTCATCCTCTCCTTCCTACTCCTTTTCATTTCTCTATTTCTTTCTTTTTTCTTCTTTATGCTTAATCCATTCATCTGTCATCCTCTCTTTCCTACTCCTTTTCATTTCTCTATTTCTTTCTTTTCTTCTTTATGCTTAATCCATTCATCTGTCATCCTCTCCTTCCTACTCCTTTTCATTTCTCTATTTCTCTCTTTTCTTCTTTATGCTTAATCCATTCAACTGTCATCCTCTCCTTCCTACTACTTTTCATTTCTCTATTTCTTTCTTTTCTTCTTTATGCTTAATCCATTCATCTGTCATCCTCTCATTCCTACTCCTTTTCATTTCTCTATTTCTTTCTTTTCTTCTTTATGCTTAATCCATTCATCTGTCATCCTCTCTTTCCTACCCCTTTTCATTTCTCTATTTCTTTCTTTTCTTCTTTATGCTTAATCCATTCATCTGTCATCCTCTCCTTCCTACTCCTTTTCATTTCTCTATTTCTTTCTTTTCTTCTTTATGCTTAATCCATTCAACTGTCATCCTCTCCTTCCTACTCCTTTTCATTTCTCTATTTCTTTTTTTTCTTCTTTATGCTTAATCCATTCAACTGTCATCCTCTCCTTCCTACTCCTTTTCATTTCTCTATTTCTTTCTTTTCTTCTTTATGCTTAATCCATTCATCTGTCATCCTCTCCTTCCTACTCCTTTTCATTTCTCTATTTCTTTCTTTTCTTCTTTATGCTTAATCCATTCATCTGTCATCCTTTCCTTCCTACTCCTTTTTCATTTCTCTATTTCTTTCTTTTCTTCTTTATGCTTAATCCATTCATCTGTCATCCTCTCCTTCCTACTCCTTTTCATTTCTCTATTTCTTTCTTTTCTTCTTTATGCTTAATCCATTCATCTGTCATCCTCTCCTTCCTACTCCTTTTCATTTCTCTATTTCTTTCTTTTCTTCTTTATGCTTAATCCATTCATCTGTCATCCTCTCCTTCCTACTCCTTTTCATTTCTCTATTTCTTTTTCTTTTTCTTCTTTATGCTTAATCCATTCAACTGTCATCCTCTCCTTCCTACTCCTTTTCACTTCTCTATTTCTTTCTTTTCTTCTTTATGCTTAATCCATTCATCTGTCATCCTCTCCTTCCTACTCCTTTTCATTTCTCTATTTCTTTCTTTTCTTCTTTATGCTTAATCCATACATCTGTCATCCTCTCTTTCCTACTCCTTTTCATTTCTCTATTTCTTTCTTTTCTTCTTTATGCTTAATCCATTCATCTGTCATCCTTTCCTTCCTACTCCTTTTATTTCTCTAATTCTTTCTTTTCTTCTTTATGCTTAATCCATTCAACTGTCATCCTCTCCTTCCTACTCCTTTTCATTTCTCTATTTCTTTCTTTTCTTCTTTATGCTTAATCCATTCAACTGTCATCCTCTCCTTCCTACTCCTTTTCATTTCTCTATTTCTTTCTTTTCTTCTTTATGCTTAATCCATTCAACTGTCATCCTCTCCTTCCTACTCTTTTTTTCATTTTCTATTTCTTTCTTTTCTTCTTTATGCTTAATCCATTCATCTGTCATCCTCTTTCCTACTCCTTTTCATTTCTCTATTTCTTTCTTTTCTTCTTTATGCTTAATCCATTCATCTGTCATCCTCTCTTTTCCTACTCCTTTTCAGTTCTCTATTTCTTTCTTTTCTTCTTTATGCTTAATCCATTCATCTGTCATCCTCTCCTTCCTACTCCTTTTCATTTCTATTTCTTTTCTTTTCTTCTTTATGCTTAATCCATTCATCTGTCATCCTCTCCTTCCTACTCCTTTTCATTTCTCTATTTCTTTCTTTTCTTCTTTATGCTTAATCCATTCAACTGTCATCCTCTCCTTCCTACTCCTTTTCATTTTCTATTTCTTTCTTTTCTTCTTTATGCTTAATCCATTCAACTGTCATCCTCTCCTTCCTTCTCCTTTTCATTTCTCTATTTCTTTCTTTTCTTCTTTATGCTTAATCCATTCAACTGTCATCCTCTCCTTCCTACCCTTTTCATTTTCTATTTCTTTCTTTTCTTCTTTATGCTTAATCCATTCATCTGTCATCCTCTCTTTCCTACTCCTTTTCATTTCTCTATTTCTTTCTTTTCTTCTTTATGCTTAATCCATTCATCTGTCATCCTCTCTTTCCTACTCCTTTTCAGTTCTCTATTTCTTTCTTTTCTTCTTTATGCTTAATCCATTCATCTGTCATCCTCTCCTTCCTACTCCTTTTCATTTCTCTATTTCTTTCTTTTCTTCTTTATGCTTAATCCATTCAACTGTCATCCCTCCTTCCTACTCCTTTTCATTTCTCTATTTCTTTCTTTTTTTCTTCTTTTATGCTTAATCCATTCATCTGTCATCCTCTCATTCCTACTCCTTTTCATTTCTCTATTTCTTTCTTTTCTTCTTTATGCTTAATCCATTCATCTGTCATCCTCTCTTTCCTACTCCTTTTCATTTCTCTATTTCTTTCTTTTCTTCTTTATGCTTAATCCATTCATCTGTCATCCTCTCCTTCCTACTCCTTTTCATTTCTCTATTTCTTTCTTTTCTTCTTTATGCTTAATCCATTCAACTGTCATCCTCTCCTTCCTACTCCTTTTCATTTCTCTATTTCTTTCTTTTCTTCTTTATGCTTAATCCATTCAACTGTCATCCTCTCCTTCCTACTCCTTTTCATTTCTCTATTTCTTTTTTTTCTTCTTTATGCTTAATCCATTCAACTGTCATCCTCTCCTTCCTACTCCTTTTCATTTCTCTATTTCTTTCTTTTCTTCTTTATGCTTAATCCATTCAACTGTCATCCTCTCCTTCCTACTCCTTTTCATTCTCTATTTCTTTCTTTTCTTCTTTATGCTTAATCCATTCATCTGTCATCCTCTCTTTCCTACTCCTTTTCATTTCTCTTTTTTTTCTTTTCTTTCTTTATGCTTAATCCATTCATCTGTCATCCTCTCTTTTCCTACTCTTTTTCATTTCTCTATTTCTTTCTTTTCTTCTTTATGCTTAATCCATTCAACTGTCATCCTCTCCTTCCTACTCCTTTTCATTTCTCTATTTCTTTCTTTTTCTTCTTTATGCTTAATCCATTCATCTGTCATCCTCTCCTTCCTACTCCTTTTCATTTCTCTATTTCTTTCTTTTCTTCTTTATGCTTAATCCATTCAACTGTCATCCTCTCCTTCCTACTCCTTTTCATTTCTCTATTTCTTTCTTTTCTTCTTTATGCTTAATCCATTCATCTGTCATCCTCTCCTTTCTCTATTTCTTTCTTTTCTCTTTTTTATATTCTATCTTTGAACCTCATTAACTATCATTTTCTTATTTCTCTCTCTTCTTGTTATTTTTTCTCTTCTTAATTCAGTCATCTCCCTCTCTTACTCCCCCTTCTCTTTCTCCTCCTTTACATTTTTTTTATTTGCTTGTTTTCCATTTTCTTTATTCCTTCTTATTTTTTCCCTATCCAACTGTCCTTCTCTTTCTTTTTCAACTTCTATGCACGCGTACTTATATATGTGTGCATAGGACAAAAGCAAGCAAAAACTATGATTTCGTATTCCTGTATAAAGCTATGCGCGTGTACGTATGCTGTACGTGTGCGTGTGGGCCTTTGTCCAGGTGAGTTCGGTTTGGTTGTATCCACCTTCAAAAAGGCGTTATGGGAGACTACCTGATACTTCCTCCATGTAATAACCATATCAAGTAACAATTGTATAAATCTCACCAACCGTATAATTCCCTTTATTTCTTATGTTGTATATCTTTTTATTGTAGACGAAGCACAATCCACGTTGTCCACAGACACGGCCCTGGCACTGGTGAAACCCGAATTACTCAGGGAAGGAGGTAAGGGCCATACCTGACTTAGAGTTTTGCGAGGCACAAAAAGAACCGCGCGGCCATATTATATATCCATCCATAACGTTAAATCTGCACCTGTATATTGGAATTCAAGGACGACTGGGTTCAAGTGGACTGCATTTTTTTGCGGAAACTTGGGGTGCTTTTTGACCGAAGTAAACATTTGGGGGCACGCCTGGATACAATGACCAGGGTTTATTGAACACAATTAATGCTATTAAAGTATACGTGATTTAAGAGTTCTGTTAATGGCCGGGTTACGTAGTGAAATGTTCCTTTTTATTTATTATTATATAACTTTTGTTAACTATTTAGTTTTGAAATCATCATGTAAAATGTTAGGACAGTGTTATAAATTTCCCCGTCATTGTCAAAGTTTCAAACAGTGTTATCTCTTTCTTTGCCACAATTAATATTATTGAAGGGTTGAAGAGAGGACCGAATAGCGTCAGGTTTGAGGTTCTTCTTATTGCGTCTAATCTAACTCTAAAGCAAATACAACCATATTTTACACTCACTCATCATTAATATTTAATCAGTAACTCTCATCCTGATTGGCTGTCAATTCTAGTATTAAAAAATCATTGATATACTGATAAGCGAACATATGGTGCTACAAAATAAAATGTCGTTTGGAACTAAATCTAAAAGTGCTAAATCAGTTGTTGATTTGTAAAGATTCCTGATTCTATATCTTTTAGCTGATCCACCCAAAAAATGAAAATCTGCTATTCCTGTTTTTGTCTTATTTTTAAATGCATAGTTTTTGTTGTTCGTTTGAACTTATTTTCTGGAATAAGGTCTTTAAAGTTTTGTCACATATAAGATTTATTCAACAGTTTTAGAAGCTAATTTTTCGAAAAAAAAAATAGGTAAATGCAGTTTTATTATTTATTTTGAAAATAATTAGCAGTAATGATTTTAGACAAATGATACGGCGCAGATGAAATAGAATTAGATCAAGAGAACAAAGTTTAGTTTTCAGTTCCACCAAAATCTGATGGGGATGAAACACGCCCAGTTCCTCCATCATAACACCGTGAGTGATAATCTTTTATAATAACATGATATAAATAACTGTATGAGTTGCATTTGAAGGCGGTTAAAGTCTGATTTGTTCCACTTCAATAGTTGTATTGAGGCAATAGTTGCCGGACGGGAATAACCTTGTCACCAATATAATTGTAAATGATGGAAATAAATTGTCAGTTTACGAGTTGCAATTGATCATTTGTATATTTTTATGCAGTGGATCGAACATCACTTTTGTTTTTCTGGTAATATCATGGAGTTGATGATTATGATGATTACTTCGTTGCTGTTGCGTTATTACGATTTGACAATCATATCTCTTTGAGAACAACTCAAAAGTCGATCGTATCTTGAACAAAGTAACTAAGGCTGAAAAGGAATGCATTCACAGTACTGGAATGAGCGCGGGAAATCCAAAGAGAAAAATGGACACCGAAATTTTATATTTGAAGAAAAAACTGAAATAATCCACACTACTACTACTACTTGTTCTACTATTACAACCGCTAACATTAGTACAACTTCTATAGAACTAATATCATTGCCACTAGGTATTTACTTTGTCTTCCTATTAAGACGAGTTGTGGCACAAGGTCTTTTTTAAGGTGGGGGACCCGAGCACATACACCCGGGCAAGGAACAAAAATTGCCCGTAGCCTCCGCAACCGTCGGTTGCGCTGGCCTCGGTGCGAGCACCGATACCTCTCTCTGGTGCAATGAGAGGGCACGGTCCCGAGCAGCTGTTCTGCAGGGCTGGGCACCTCTCAGTATACTTTTTCTCAGTTGCAACTCTGTCCTTTGATGGAGTCGCCCCTGAGTGCACTCTGCCCAAGGACAGAGACGCAACTGAGAGATGATAAATAGATGTGTTACAAACTAATCAAAAGAGTAATTTATACACTAATATCATTAATATTAATATATCATTGCAGCAATTAATACTACAACGGTTGTTACTGTGATTACTGCTGCTACTATTACTACTGTTATCATTACTACTACGACTATTGATACAACTAGTACCGCTATGATTATTACTATTATTATGCTTATTGCTACAACTACTATCACAACGGTTGTCATTACTACTCACCCATGGATACGACTAGTACTTCTCTCCTTAATACTAATATTATGGTTACTAATACTACAACCGATATCATTACTATCACGATCACTCGTATGATTCGTAATGCTATCATTGCTACCACTAATATTATTATTATACTACTACTATTATTGCGATACTGTAATTATTTTTTAGATAATACGCATCCGTGTGTAGCAGGTACCATTAACTTTGAAATTTTGGAAAAAAACTCTTTCGTGCATAATACGCAGAGATTTTGTAGCTGCTAAATTAACCTAAATTTAACACTTTTTCAACTTTTCATCTGGTTCGTGTCGACTTAAAATAAGAATTTAATTAGTTTACATTGTGTTTTGAAAGGAGAAATTCACACTGCATTTAAACCAAAGGCACGGTCATGTTCAAACAAAAACGCAACATGCTTACAGCGAAAATAATCCCACTCTTGTGGCTACGTCTGTGTGGCAGCATAAAACAGAAGTAGGCATTAGTATTACTTCCTTTGTGAAGTAGAAGAAAAAAACGAGTGAGTAGGCGTTGAGGTCTGTGGCAAAAGTAAGCTCAGAAACAAAATTATAAATGCACATTCCAGTGGTTTGTGGTCGTGTCTTTGTAATAGTGTAAAAAAAAAACAAATAAAAATTGATTTGCTTTTACGACTTATCAACCATTTGTGAGTTATTTCAAACCAAAACATAATTTGCAATAATAATTCTTTTTCTTTGCGAGTGAATATTGCAGTAACAATTTTTCTGAAAATAACAATCATTTTCCAGATACACGACCTACTATTTAACCCACAGCTTGGGCGAGGAAAGGGGATTAATACTTTTCTCAAACGTAGAGAAGCTGACTGGAGATCGGCTCTCTGAACCCTCATTCCGAGTCGGTATCCATTACTCCACCCGCACACCCCAGAAGTATAGATTATATTATCTTTGAGGAAGAAGAAGAAGAAGAGGACTATGTGGACAAAAATGACGAAAATAAGCTCATATTATGATAAATAAAATCATAAACACACGTTACAGTGGCTAGTGGCCATTTCAGCGTGATACAGCCGTAAAGATGACATTAACTTTTAGAGAAAAAGAACAAAATGTCTGCAATGACGATGACTACATTGAAGATGATGAAGACGTTTATTACTCTGGCAACTTCGTTAAAACTATCATAATGTTTGTTTTTGACAATATAGGCAGTTTAAATCCCTAATCAAACATTACACTTTTTTTGGCAATTATTAACATAGATATTATGCACATTTTTGTCTATGAAGCAAACTAAAACGTGCTTTAGATGACGTGATTAGTGATTTAAACTCTTTGTTACACATTAGTAAGATTGGACAATAAGATATAACTCACTTTCAGTCGTATTACCAAAATATGGAGACGTTTTTTCTACTTTTATGAGCCGTGTCCCTTCAGGAGGTTGGCGATCATGAGCCTCTACATCTTCCTGTCCCTTTAGGGGGGTAGGCGATCATGGGCCTCTACATCTTATTGTCCCTTTAGTGGGTAGGCGATCATAGACCTCTACATCTTCCTGTCCCTTCAGGAGGTAGGTGATCATAGACATCTACATCTTCCTGTCCCTTCAGGAGGTAGGTGATCATGGACCTCTACATCTTTCTGTCCCTTGTAGCTCTTAATAAGTTTTGTCTTTTGTTATTTCTCACAAACCCTGTTCTGCCATCCATTTACTTAAGCCCATCAAGTATGTTACGCGCTGGTTTCCTTTCTCTCAATCTGTCCCATGAGTATAAGATTTTCCAAACCCTTCTTCCTCATTACTTGCCTCAGAAATTTCAACTGCCTCTTCCTGATGTTAAATATAAGTTTCCTTTTTGTTTCCATTCTCTCCCAAACCTTGTTGTTGATCACATATTCAACCCATGGTATCTTCAGCATCTTTCTGTAGAACCACATTTCTGCTGCTTCAAGTCTCTTCATTTTTTAGGGGATTGTCCAGCATTCACTAGCATAAACGAGGACAGATATCACAGTCTAGTACTCTTTTCTTTTGGGGACGCACGTAGCCGGAAAAAAACATTAATATTTTGTTCTCAGGTATAATACGCGCTACTAAATTTTAGACCTAAAATCTAGGAAAAAGTGTATATTATACATGAATAATTACGGTAATTGCTATAATATATCTAATTATTAATAGTTATTACCATTGTTATAATTTTGACAATGGCGTCCAACGACTGTAGCATAATTGATTTTTAATTAATTTAGCTTCTTTTTTATCCGAACGTTTTAGGTTGACTTAACCTCTGACCATTAAAAGAAAAAAAAATGACTGCAATAAAAAGATGGCTTCCAACGGGACTCGAAGTTGCATCTCATATCACTGGTGCTCTTTATCATCTTTGAACAATTTTTAAAACAATTATTTCCATTCGGACTAATATTCTCATCTTTTCTTCAGGTATCTCTCGGTCCGGTTAAGCTTCGGGGAATTCCGAAATGAACCCTTTATTAAATCTACGAGGATAGATTGTTCTCGTTCTGCTTGTCCATATCTCGGGATATCTCGTTTCGTATTTTGTTTTTTTTTAGTCCTGCTCAGTTATTCCTCAAACTATTTGCGTTGAGCCTGAATTTGGTGGCATAGCGATTGTGAGTTCAATCCTTGGTCCGTATAGTACACACAAAGACTCAGTGACCAACTTGACACCAGAAGAAGGCCGGAGAACATTACAACTGAAACGATGTGATAGCAACAAAGAGGAGAATATTATTCCGCGTGGAAATAATGTAAATAATGACAGCGCCTCATCCTAGAAATTTAAACCATTACTGTTATAATTATGAGGAGGCACGGATAGCGGCTCGGACTGAGGATTCGGAGAGCAGAGTTCGAATTCCGGTAGAATTCATTACATTCACTTACGTGATAAGACACTTGGGAAAGGTATGAATCCGCTTCTTCTCCACCCAGATATGGGTAAGTAGCAGGACAGACCGGGTTGCCTTGGATGTCAACTGGTCTACCGCAGAAAGAAATGGCAACCTAATGCGGGAAAAAAATCTGCTTCGTCAGATCGCATAAGCGTGTATCACGCATGACACATAACTGATTATAATTATACACCAAACTTTACTACGACTAATATACCTATAGTAAATATTTTTATTATTATATATGCATTCTAGCTAATAAAAATGAACAAATAGTAATGTACGTTTCTTTATTTTCCAGTTTGCACTTTTCAAAAGGTCACGTACTCGAACGGCGCCAAATGGTACACAAATGTTATTTTGTTAGGAGAACCAACGTGTGGAACCTGCATGTGTAAGGTACGTGGATAATTCTTTTTGACCAATTGTAATTCAGATGTAAGAAGCTTATGCTTTATGCAATGGTAAAATGAATATTACCGCCAGGTGTTTAGAAAGGAAAACAAAGATTAGATAGAAGTTACAATTATTTTACAGCAAGAAAATCCAGCAAAAATACAAAATATATAAAACGTAATGTCTTTGTCTGCCTGACTCTCTGTATGTAATCTTCATAATAAATGGCTTCGCAGGTCTCATGAAATTGTTTTTGCAAATATCTTGGAAGTTTAAACATGTTCTATTAAATGATCATGGAATGACTGTTAATTCTTTTTCCGAATAGCTCTTGGTGTCGAATTAATTATTTTATCACAGGCAGAATCTTGTAAAGAAATTGCCGTCCTGCTATTTAAGCTATAGCTAGAGGAATATAGATTCATGCCTTTCCCAAGGGAAATGGCGCAAACAAATCGACTAGAGATTGACTATAAATTGAGCTCGACACCACGATTTAGACAACCTCTAGACACTAGACTATCCGATATATATATATATATATATATATTTAATGAAAAAAATTCCAATTAATTTAAATTCATTTTCAAATATAGCAAAGTTATTTGCTTATTGGAAATATTAAATTTAATCTATTAGTTTGAAATTAAAACTAGAATAAAACCTTCATGAACGATTTTACATTTTTAAAAAATCATTTTAAACCTTGGGTATCTCTTTCCTTTGAAGGTATATATATATATACAGAGAGAGAGAGAGAGAGAGAGAGAGAGAGAGAGAGAGAGAGAGGGAGAGAGACACAGACAGATACAGAGAGAGAGAGTTCTAAGGAATTAATGAATTTATTTTAATTTGACATTCTTTAATATTTATATTTTTATTTATTAAATAGTGTGCCTTACGTTTATATGCCGGCTTATTCGGCAAATCGTAGTAAAGTGTGTAGTACGTCTATCGGCCTGTGCATTAGAGTAATTTAAGATCTTAAGTCGTAATACATTACGCACTGTTTAATAAACAAAATGTGTCATCTATTTAAAATACGGAGTATCCACTATAATAACGTTTAAAATATGCACGATAATGACATATATATATATATATATATATATATATATATATATATATATATATATATATATATAAAAAGCTTAAACACTAATATTCTACGGTCATACTTTATTCCATTGGAATCGTAAATACGATCCAATTCATCAGACCTACAAATTCAAAAAGAAAACAGGAAAAACAACTCCGGAAATAAAAAAAGAATTTAGAGAGAGTGTAAGTATGAGAGTGTGGAACGAATGCTAGAGCTATAGAGAGGGGTAACAGACAAGAGAAGGGAGTTTAGGGAGGTGATTTGAAGAGGTTGAAGTGAGAGAAATATGAATGCTGTCGGATGTCTAATACATTAAAGAAGACCAACGAAAGTAATTTGTTAAGGATTTTAATTGATATTTTTTATAATTTGTGCCTTTTTCTTGATTTTCTGAACATATTTAAAAATAAATTCTTCAGTGTTTGAATACTTTCGGCCTTCATAAGCCATTATAAAAGATTTTTTGTGGTCTTTGCTATCGTACAAAATAATGGTTTGAAATATAGAAAATAATAAATAAAATCCTTAACAAAAAACACTTTTGTTAGTCTTTCACCAGGTTGAAAAAAGGAATGAAAAATTTCTATACAAATATACCCAATATATCCCTGTGTGTATTTGTGTTTTGCCTGCACTGGTGGAGAAAGGAAACAGTTATGACACCCTAGACTTTTGCCTCTGTGAATATATATATATATATATATATATATATATATATATATATATATATATATATATATATATATATATATATATAAGAAATGAATTAAATCCGGCATATTGTTATTTTTAATTTATTTTGTTTAAACGTTATGGATACTCATATTCGAGTAGAAGCTCTTTTTTTTTTTTAATTAAATAGTATTTTTTATCCAACTACATCTACCGGCCTCAAAAATTCGAGAAATCTTGTCAGAAAAATATGCGTCCGCTGACAGGATTCGAACCTGCATCCCATATGGGGAACCGTCATTGGATATGTGTCTTCCAATGTCGTCAGTTTTCTCCGATACACAACATCCTTTAGGGTCCCCCATACGTAAAAGTCTAAAATCTACGAAAGACAAGAAAAATAGGTAAAAAAAAAACTCCATTTAATAATAGTTGATCTTATAATGTTTTGTATATATGTATCCTTGGAAGCAAATCTCTTTTCCTTTTATTATGACTTCCATGATGGCATTGTGGTAGAGCTACAGACATCAGTGGTGTGTACTTGACAGTTCCCGGAAAACTGAACCAGAAGTAAATAAATAGACTACAACTGTCCTCTTATTAGAAATTTAACTTTAAATAGCTTAAAATTAAACAGTTACTGGTGTTTAATTTTAAGCTGTTTAAAGAGTCTGTTTTTCACATGTGCCATTTTTTCCTATTTTTTCAACTGGGGCATTATTACAGTTCTTCCCACCGCATATATAAGATTCTATTGATAAAACCATTATTATTCTGAAGATGTCCATTCGAAGAACAAAATGCATAACGAAGGAGAAATGCTTTTTTCGCTTTTGTCATTTCATTACACACAATTAGTCATATATCTGGATTTCTGTATTGTATCTTCCATCTAAATTCTTATCAACAAAAGAATTTATAGTTACTGTTTTATTCAGATTTATAGACATTTTCTTTAAGAGTAGAAAGATTTTACATTTTTCGTTAAGGTTAGATTTTTAAACTGATTTAACTATTTATATATTTATTTATATTTGTTAACTTTTACCTTTCAGAATGGCAAGACAAAATGTAAATGGACCAAGTGTCCTCGACTTAAATGCAAGTCGATTGTACGAAACAAGAACTCTTGCTGCTTCCGATGTCTGCGTAAGTTTGACCGTTTAAATATATAAATGATCTAATTTTCTCAGTATTCCCCATATTAAGACAACTGTCAAAATAATTAATGCTCTCATTGATTAATTTCATCATGTCAATTCACTTTTAACAAGGTTCTACTAAGTAGAAAACAGCCCAAATTAAGCAACTCTATAATGAAACAGAACCGTTCATGTATGAAGATTTTTACGAGAATATGAAATTCTTCTTTGTACTTGGCACAAAAATTGCAGCCGCTCATTGTACTTTAGTTTGGAGCCACTTTAAGTCACAAATTCTAGACACTTGACCCCCCCTAAAAAAAAAATATTTTGCATATTGTTTTAGATTAAAATCAAAATTGATAGTCTTATGATTTGCTGCTCGACAGTTTAAATTAGTTTTAGCAAAAAACTACAAGTTGTAACATCCAGCGAGGATCGAATTCACACATTACTGTTAGTGATCGGATATAGCTGCTTAATTCATAATTTAACGTTATTAATAATTAATTGACAATTCTTCCATCTAATAGAAATAGATAAAATAAGGATAAAACTGATGCACGCAGTTGTTTTGATTCTTTGATGGATTCAAATGTAAAACTTCTTATTATTCTATCCGATTGCGTTGTGACGAAGTAGAGGCGCCACTCAAGAGTTGTTTTATCGGCCGTGTTTGTTTTTTCATTCATACCACTAATTTTCCTTCGATAACCCTATTTAAGGGCAACAAATATGCTTAAATAGGGATGCGATTCGGGGAGAGTATTTCGTTGGTCCTATCTGGTCTTTATTCATGCGGAAAATTAAGATGAAAAAATAATAAGTAATTTTTTCATAATTTTCCGTAAGTAAATTTCTAAGCATTATTTAATTGGTAAGTAGAAAAATTTTACGTAATTATTGACCAATCAAAAAGCCTGAATAACGTTCTCTCCCCCTCATAAAATGGGATGAAAGTTAGTTACTTAGATAGATAGATAGATAGATAGACAGACAGACAAACAGACAGATGTTGAGGTATATGGTCGTAGGGTAATAGCTAGTGAGTAACTGAATTCATAGACTTTGTTAAGCTTTGTTTGGTCTGGCGAGAGTATTTAATTCGCCATTTCTAAGATTTTTTTTTTTTAAATAATGCCATGCCCCTTCAGGTCGTAAGCGATCGTGACTTACCACAAATTCCTTTTCTTTATTATCTGTGAATTTCTAGGGAAAGATAGTTGAGTGGTTTCCTGTTGACTTCTCCACGTTTTGGAATTCAGGCTATTCTTTCTACTAGGCTGATTGCCATCCAAGGCTATAGAGTCCGTTCTATTCTGCGATTTAACTCCTAGTTGGCTGAGTAATAGATGGATTCAGGTCGCTTCCAGGGATATGATTGCGATCGTGAACGTATCAAACTAGCCTAGGATTTGATCTCGTCTCAATGATTCCATTTTCCACGCCGATATTATTTGCACATCCTACACACCCCTTTCTTAAGAAGTAGTTCTTAAATTTGATAATTTTTGTTGATTATGAATTTTAATTAATAATTTGATTAGTCATACGTACAAAATAAGTTTTTTTTTCTTTGATTGAAATATTTTCTATCTGAACTTTTAAATTAAAGACCAATGCTGAAATAAGCGAAATCAGAAACTATAGTTGTACCATATATCATATACCATTTATTTGAAATAACGTATTATTTCTGAGTCTGTCTATATTTCTGAGATGAGGTATTATGTACATTATTTACATTATTCGGACTATTGTCCGAATACTTTGTCGCCATATTTATCACAACGTTTCGGCCGTTGTACGCTCCGGCCTTCTTCAGGTGGTTGCAATGTCGAACTGAACCCTTTATTTCGCTCACCGGGGTAGACTGTTCTAGTTCCACGTGCCATGTTTGATGGATGTCAGTTATCAGTTATCTCCTGTTAATTTCCCTCTGAAAGTTCTCCACTGCCTTAATCGGGTATTGAACTCACACTCTTTGGGTCCTGTCACTGAATCTAACCAACTGTGCCATGTGTCCTTGAGGACATCTGGGTATGAATTTCTGGGTATTATAAACCTAACTTCAGCAACCATTTTTACCAGTGCTCATATTACAATTTTGCTGTTATCATTACATGTTTTTACCAGAGCTCATATTGCAACTATGTTGTTATCATTGCTTTTCTCTGGCACTCCTTATTACTGGTTCCCATATTGTATTTATTTCTATGCTTAGTCGGCTCAGAAGATTTTTGTGGCCTAGCATATGTGCTGATTCCTTAAGTTAACGAATTTTCCAATGGTGTTCCTTGTCTATGATCTCAACATGATCCCACAGAGGGCGGTGATCTCCCTTCTCTCTCCATATGTGGTCAGCCATGCCTGATTTTTCTACTGCCCCTCGTGTTACAGCTTTCTGGTGTTCTTGAAGCCTTACCTTAAGGGGGCGGCCTGTCTCTCCTTTATATTCCTTTCCGTAGCTGCACGTGATAGCGTACACACAGTCTTTAGTCATGTTCTCCTCTATGGGGGTCTTATTCGGGAGAGATATCTGCAAAGTGTCGTCAAGCTTTTGAATGCTGTCCTGATGTTATATGGACCGCAGATCCTTTGTATTTTCTCTGATAACTTCTTCACATAAGGCAGACAGACTGTTTTCTGAATGTTGTTGTCCTCCTCCACTTGTACCCGCCTATCCCAGTTCACGCACTATTTCTTATATGTGTTTTAAGCTCCCATACAAATTTATTAAAAAAAAAATATAAATTCCCATCATCACATCGAGTTTATATATTTGTATTCTTCTTTTGCAGGTAGAAGGAACAGATCTAGAAAGAATGGACGTAAAAGACTCTGAGACGAATGGACTATTTTTTAACATCTCATATTGGACGCAAAAATATTCAATAAATTTAATGGTTGTAAAATAATGTATGCGTGAATGATGATGAAAGGTTAATAGAGACAACATGTTTAATAAGAAATATACATAAAAGGCGTCAAATAACATAAAAATTGAATGATAAAAAAAATGATGGAACGCTTAAAAAAACCTTGCTGGAAGTAGGACTGTTACACTCATTCTCTCACGACTGCATCACGGTGTTTCAATTGGTATAGATTCCAGTTTTTCTTCAGGAACTTTGGGCTTTGACTGTGTCCATAAAACAGACGCACACACAAAGTTTCGCCACCCGATCATCGACTTCAGTGTTGCAAAAGCAGTTGAATCCATTTGACTTGAAGAATTGGCAGAGAAAATACCGATTGAAATTTAGTGATCAAATCATTTCTTTAATTTTTGCTCACACTGAAAAAGATGAAATTAATGACAGTTCGAATTTTTCCTGCCGCTTTCATAAGCTTTCGGAGTACTTATAAACAATACCCATCGAAACACATACATTCGTACACATACACGCACACACACTCACATATACACACACACATATATATATATATATATATATATATATATATATATATATATATATATATATATGTATATATATATATATATATATATATATCAACATAAACGGCTTCTTACTTTGTTATGGGACGAGTCACAAAGAAAATGATTTTGACTCAGAAGAGGAAAAGTGTTCAACTGGAGTTTTCTTAAAAGCGTTCACAATCATTATTTACACAATTATAAATATCTGAACTTAACGTGATTTCCGGTATCCCTGTTGCGACGTTTTTCGCTTCTATTACGTTGAATTGTCTTTTCTGAAAAATGCTTGCAAATTTCCAATTGAAAGTTGAATGAAATACAAGTGGGATTTTCGTAAGAAAACAATTATGATTTGTGCATAAGCATCAGCTATGATCCCCGCTTTAGCCAGTTTAATTGCTAAAACTATTGAGGAAAATATCATGAACTGATCTAAAAAAGAACGTCACGATCGTTACGAATGGTAGCTTTATCTGTATGTACCAAGTTTCCATCGTAAAATAATGGTGTCTTTCTTGTGAGATTCTATCATCTGAAAATGATATGAGAATTGGTGATTGATAGCCAATGTGCCAAAGTATGGAAATGAATCTGAAGTCTGCGATGAATAACGAATATATGACTTACTAAAAAATAATATTTCCGAAAACACTGTTCTCGAAAAATTGTTCCTGAAAGGAACTCCGGATAAATAAAAAGATGTTCAATGTGTTTGAATGGGAGTTTTCGTGCGTGCGTGTGTGTGTGTGCGTTTGTGCGTGTGTAATGAAAGGAGTGCTTGACAGAGAGAGAAAAAGAGAGGTAAATAACCCACAAACGGTGAAGGAAGAAGTAGATCATGCAGAAAGGGTAAGCAAAAGAGAAATAAAGGAGGACAGAAAAGGATATATATATATATATATATATATATATATATATATATATATATATATATATATATATATATATATATATATATATGGGAGAAGAAAAGAAAACCAGATAGAGAGAAAAAAAGAACGTGGGAGAGAGACGGATAGTGTGAAAGACAGATGTATAAATGAGACAGAGAAAGAGTGAAAAACTTGTGGAGGAAATAAAACAGTGAAGGCCATCGATGAGAGTGATAGAATGAGATGAAGAGAGAGAGTGAGAGAGAGAGAGTGAGAGAGAGAGAGAGTGAGAGAGACATATGATATCTCAATTTTATTTCAAGTTGTTTATAATCATTTTCCATTTATTTGCTTTAGGATTTGGCGCGGGACAAGGAGGAGTTTGTAAATTTGACGGGTAATCTACTCCTGCTTAATATGCAGACCCATTCCCGTCAAGTTCCTGTTTTTAAAATAATATGTATTCACTTGTTGTAAAGCACTGGAAGTTAAAACATTTTACATAGACATTGTTGTTTTGCATTATGGGACATGTTGTTGAGCATCATTGTCCTTCGCAAGAACATTTTAAAATAACACGAAAGCGTATGGATTTCGAGACGAAAAGATCATGAAGAGAAGAGTGATAAAAATAACTAAAAAATTATCAAATTACATTTTATTGGGGAAAATGTCCATTCAAATTTGACATTAATATTAGTTTCTCTTTGTTATTCCTGAAAAAATAAACATAAAACTAAGACAGGATTTTTGATAAAGTCAGAAAAAATAGAAATGTTTTTATTTTTTTTAAGCGACTGTCTTGATAGAAAGAAAGAATATTGTAAGCTCACCCAAAATTCATTTCATTGGCAAATGACGAAAAGCACGTTTTTAGCAGGTTTGAAATTTGTTTTGAAAAGGAATCCGATATCAACTTTGTATAAATTTGTCAGTGAGTTTTATTAATGCTTACATCGAAATAAAAAAAAAATGCTGTCAAAAGTATAAAAAAAGAAAAGTAAGTATCAGTTAAATATAAAATTACTGTATAAATTCCTTCTTATTTGAATACACAGGTGACGGTGGCTATACAAACACAAATGAATTTTCCACTTTATTTTGCTTATTTTGCTTATTTTGCTTATTTTGCTTTTCATCATTATTAATTTATTGCTAGCTTTTTCTTCCTTATTTCCATGGTTGCTTTTCATTATAACTCAAAAGGCCGCGAAACATTTTGACCGTTAGATGAAAGGGCCCGAAATATTGAAAATAAAGAAATGTTTTCCGACGAGACTTCAAGTTTCGTCGGAATGCACGTGAGATTAATATAGTTTCTCTTTGTTATTCCTGAAAAATAAATAAAACTAAGACAGGAAATTTGCTATGGTCAGGGAAAAATAGAAATATTGTATTATTTTAAGCAAGTATTTGTTTTTATGGAAAGAAAGAACTGTCCCAAATTTCATTTCATTAATGAATGACGGAAAGCCACAAAGAATAGAGGGAGTAAAGCTGGCATGAAATTAATAATAGTGAAAATGATTCACCCAAAGGAGTTAATACATTTGTTATTATTCTGCAATACAAAAAAAAAAAAAAAAGAAAAAAAAGAAAATAAAAGAAGCATGTACAAATAATCGGAAAGGTAACTATAGTAAAATGACCACAGATTGGTCGTTTGTTTAGTCATTGTCTTTCCTGGTCTAAATTGAAAAGGCGACATTCATGAGAGACATGGGGTCTGGAATGTGAGATCGAGGCTCATCAGAAGTTACTACTTTCTCAGTCTTCATTCTGTTGACTCGGGTGATCGAAGAGCATATCGACCTGTGATAAAAAGCTATAAAAATAAAATGAAGGAGAGTTACTATTAAGAATGATGTTTTTTTTCTTTTTATTTTAAAAATCTGTTAAAAAGTTAACAAGAGTAATCTTTTCTTTTTTTTTAATAAAAGGAAAACAATTATAAAACTAAGACGCAAAATTTGATAAATCCCTGAAAAAGTCGATGACAGAAATGCGAGTTTAATTATATATTTATTTTTACAGTTAATGTCTTTCGGGAAAGAATCGTGTAACTTAATCCACAACACTTTCAGCTTACAGAGATCTGAAATTTATTTTTAAAAGGAATCAGATAACGGCTGTAAATATCTAATCGATGGTGACTTTTTTTTAGTAGTATAAGCTAAATTGACAAGTTTGGTGAACACGATGAGCTTACATAATAGAACGCAGTAAGTCATATTAACAACGTGTAACGGCAACATGCAATAGTTTTTTTGTATGCGTTCAAAAACACAGGGTCTTAGATTATAGTCACACACACGCACGCACACACATATGGGAAATTCATTACGAAAAAACTTAGAAGACGCAGCATGTTTTTCTTGCATATTAATATTAAAGTTCATTTAATGATATTATTAGTTTTATTCATGTTTTTATGTTTCAAACTGCAGTTAATGTTGTTTTTATGTTTATATATATATATATATATATATATATATAGAGAGAGAGAGAGAGAGAAGAGAGAGACACACACAGACATATATATATATATATATATATATATGATAAATATATAGTTTTAAGATATGCTATAATTATAGGTAAAAGTGATAGTGATGGAGTGTAGGTATATATAAAAGTGAACACTGAGGTCAATACCGAGCGGCGACAGTCTGTTTCATGTATGAACGCAATTTTCAGGTTCCCATACTGACCTGAAGATTGCGTTCAATTATGACTGTTGCCACTCGGTGTTGACCTCAGTTTCACTTGCACACACATATATATATATATATATATATATATATATATAACGAGTAACCTAAAACTGTTTATTTTCTGAATTAACTTTAATGAACCATATATTTTCTGTGTTGTTCAAAAATCTTCTATCATCTTATAGACAACTTAATAATTTCATTTGAAATCTTCTAAATACTTTCCCCTACTCATTTGGGACCATCATAAATGTTAATAAATGTTAATCGGGAAGTGCATTTTGTATCGAATCCGACTCATGAACGAACCCTTGACAATCATACTCCCATCATTCGTGCATGACAACCTTTTGGCCAAGTGTTAAATATTACGTTAAGTAAATCCGAATAGAGGATTTTCGTTGACTGCTGCTGCTGCTTTCGCAATAGCGCTTAAAATGATGTGTACCAATGCAAAATTTCTTATCCTGACTTACTTTCATATTTTAGGATTCAAACGGAAATTCTCGTGCGATCACCGAAGTCAAGCAACGTCGAACCTGGTCAGTACCGAGATGGGTGACCGGTTTGGAATACCAAATGCTGTATGCTTTGGTGTGTGGTAATGGATAACGGCTCGGATTTGGAAATCGGAGTTCCAATTCCAGCCGGGTTCCTTATACTCATTTACACCCAAATATCCTTGGGGAAGCTATGACTACACTTTTCCTTCTAACTATGGTTTAATTAGTACGATTCGTATCAGTAAATCTTTATTATTTCCAAAAATTACTTACAATCTAAAATATTTTCTTGCTTTAAATGACTTTCAAAA